AACCCGGCCCCTCTGGTGAGCGCCTCCCCTTTTTTTTTTTCCTCCTTTCCTCCCTTTCCTCCTCCTCCTCTTCCTCCTCCCGCCCCCCCGAGGCCGCGCTCCTTCCCTCCCTCCCTCCCTCTCCCTTTCCCTTCCTCTCTTTCAGGCAGGCGAGCCAGCCTTGCCTCTGCCTCTGCTTGCGGGGCTGCCGGAGCCGCGGCCGAAGCGACCTGAGGCTCCCGATGGCGGCGGCGGCGGCGGCGGCGGAAGAGGAGCGCGACGAGTGGCAAGGGGTCGCCCAGAAGCGCAAGGCCTGGGCCAAGAGCAGGGACTCCTGGCAAGCCTCAGAAGCCGAGCGCCTCTCGCCAGAGGCGGACGAACAGGCGGCGGCGGCGGCGGAGCCGGAGGTCGCCGGGGACAAGTTACCCTTGGCTGCCGCGGAAGGAGGTCTGTTTCCCCCCCACCCCAACACACACACACACTTACTCAAGGGGTCGCCCAGAAGCGCAAGGCCTGGGCCAAGAGCAGGGACTCCTGGCAAGCCTCAGAAGCCGAGCGCCTCTCGCCAGAGGCGGACGAACAGGCGGCGGCGGCGGCGGAGCCGGAGGTCGCCGGGGACAAGTTACCCTTGGCTGCCGCGGAAGGAGGTCTGTTTCCCCCCCACCCCAACACACACACACACTTACTTTCTCTCTTCTCTCCTGCAACCATGATGGCTGCTATTTCTCGACTAAACAGACTAAACAATGTGTGTGCCAAAAAGAATGCATGCACTACCTCTGAGCCAGAAAGGTGTGCAACAGCTCTTAAAGGGGATGGTTCGGGAGGCTTTTGCTCCCCTGCAGGATTCCCTGGGATTGGACTTGTTTCCCAAGGGTAGGCTCTCTCGCCTGTTGCCTTTGCAGTCCCGGAGAGATTTATGCGGCGCGGAGTGCTTCGTTCTGAGCACATGTATCCGATTTCAGTAAAATTTCATTCGGGCCAGCCTTTGTATGCTTTTGGGCCGTCCTCGAAACATTAAGGCAGGGTTAGGGGTTCTGTGGCTTCTCCTGCACTGCCTGATTTAATTGTGCTCTTCCAGTGCCTCACTGAATAAATTGAGTTAAATTCTGGGACACCAGCAAGATGCCCAGACTTCTTTTTAATTGAATGCATTGGTCATCAGTTTATAACTTTCTGTCTGTCTGTCTGTCTGTCTGTCTGTCTGTCTGTCTGTCTGTCTTTTCTCTGCCCTTTTCCACCAATCCTGAATGTTGCAGGCAATATTCCAAATGAAAAAATTGCAATATGGCTTAAGGACTGTAGGTAAGTACTTCTTTGTAAAGAATTATTTGGTTATACTGTATGTGCCTTTCTGGTTCAGATGGAGACCAAAGTCCTCAGTCCTGTCTGATGTCTAGAAGTTTTTGGCATTTGAAATACCATCAGGAATTCTGGCTCCTGAATGTGTTCCCTATACAGGGGGACATGTCCCACCCTGTGTGCCTAAAATTCAGGAGCCACAGTCCAACAGATGTTGCAGTCCTGTGTTTACTTACTCTGGTGTATGCCCCAGTGAGAGTGGGGCACACTGAGTTCGTGGAGTTGAAACACTCCTAACTTTGTATTTGTTTCGGCTTCTCATGGGAATCTTCTGGTAGGGTTTGCAAGTGTACGAAGGAGGAGCTGGCTCTTTGGTCTGTGCTGTTTGCCTTATGTTCATTTTATTACATTGGTCAGGAAACAGTGACTGTTTTTGGGGAGGTTGCATGTTCTGGATTGTAAAGATGCTACCTGCAGTGCAAAGATGAAAGTGTTCTCGGGAAACATAGCTTGACAGAAGCCAAGGAAGTCTCCCATGCTGTTCCTAAATGTTGTGATTTCAGCTGTGTGATCTTCAAGTTGCGAGTTGCATGTAGGCTGCCTTGCTAAGCATTTGTACCAGGAAATAAGTCCCCTTTCAGCTATTGAGCCTGAGGAAGTGGATTGCGATGCCGGAAAGCTCACACTTGAATTCTTTTAGTCTTTAAGGTGCTGCAGTATTTAGTGTGGCTTCTTTTAAGTTTATGTATGTCAAAACAGGCTAATATGGCAACCTCTTTGAAAACGCTTCTAATCGATTCAAGTTCCTTCCACCATAATAAACGTGCTTGCTACAGTGGGCACTATAAAGGTCTTGTACAATTTCATGAGAAACGAACTCTGTTAAAATGAAGTTGAAATCACATCAGTGTTGCTCTGCTGTTGACTATGAAGCAGGGATTCTCTGCAGAAGTTGTGTGATCATAGTTACAGTCAGTTCTTGGAGAAGTTAATTTTTTGCTGACTGGAAGATTCAGTGAGGTGTGATCCAAAGAAAAAGCAGTTTCTCCAGATTCTGATAGTCAAAGCTGAACGTGGGCAGTGTTGTGTCTTGGGAATTGTGCTGCAAAAAAAACCACAACTCTCTGCACCCCTCTGATCGAAGCCATTGTAGTGCAGTGTCCGGAGTTGGATTTAGACTTGGCCATGTCAGGTGTTTATCTGTACAGAACTGCACAGCTTTGGGTCCAGAATTTTCCTTCATAGGATTCTTAGGAAGATAAAAGAAACCAGGTATATTTCCTACTGCAAACTCCTTGGAGGAAAGGTGGAATGAAAAATGTTATTAAAAACCTTTTCCCCAGCTTGATCCTGGATAGAGTGCATATAACTTTAGAAGTCTGTTGTTTTGTTTTTAAATCTTGCCCTTTTTGTAGATAGTTTACAGTGATTTTTAAGGCATATTGTAGCATGTTGAGAAAAGAAGCAAATTGTAGAGAAGAAGCCACGTCAGTGTTTCTTAGCACTCTTAACAGAGTCCTAGCATCAGAAGAGATTACATGCTTGTCGTGACGTCAGCCTTTGTAGGCTCAGTCTCCACCATCAGATGCATGAAACAGTTACTTACAGGATAAGAAATCAAGTATGAGAGGTGTGCGTCTACTGGGTAATTTTAAGCAGGCTTTTGACCTCTTGAGTTCATAGTTAAATACATGGTCTGGGTTGAGTTCCTGCTGTTCCCGTTTTGCCTGGCTTGCTTAAGGAAGATTTAAAGCAGAGGTGGAGAAGAGTGATTTGCTCCCACCTTAGGTGCAACATGTGCAAAGCAGTGGGATCTGGAAATGGTAACACAGAAGAACAGGGCTTGTGATTGTTTCTGTTGGCAAGTACCCGCTCCCTTCAAACATTCCCCATCTCTGCGGATATTTATTTGTTTAAAGCATTCTGCTCCTCAAACCGGAAAGACTCAGCCTTCCATGAAATCAGCTAAAAATAGATAGTCCCAGTTTGCAAGCATATAATCTAAAAAGTCATGACACAAAAGGAAAAAGGAAAGGGGAGGAAAGAGGAAAAAAGCAAGCTCTCTTTCAACAAGGCTAGTGAGATGGCGTTCTCTCCCATTCCTTCTTCCTCAGCTACTGCCTGCCTGAACGTTGATAGTGATAAAAAGGAGCTAGTATAGGTTTCTTCTCCTTCCTCCCCTGAAATGTTAGTAGAAGCCCCTTTTGTGATAATAATAATTCAGGATCTGAAGAACAATCTAGTTCCTTCAGTGTTCCCAGACAGGAGAAGAAGGAGCAGCAGAATTTGAAGGAATGTTTAGGTGCAGATTATTATGGGCTGTGAGGCTTTACTGTTTGGAAGGAATTCTTCTAAAATGCTGGAACTGTTTGGCCATTGGCAGTGGTCTTTATCCTTTTGTCCAATGTTTTGATCTTGAAGAGTGGTGTGTAGGACACCTAATTGACTGATAAAAATGCAGGCCCTGTCACTCGGTCATCTTGATGCTATAATTATTTGATTCTTCTCTGACTGGGGTGTGGATACTGTGATTCACTTTGTCACGAGATGGCTAAGTTGGAAGCAAATGGCAGGGTCTGCTATTTCATTTAGTCTTGCTCATTCGGCTAGATTTTATTATTATTATTATTTTTTGAGCTAGAGCAATCTAAAATTCCTCAGCATTTAGTTACTTCTAATTTAGTTGGGGGCATTTCTTTTAAGGAGCTGTAGGAGCCTGTCTGGAGTTTGAGATGCCCCGTTCCACACTGCAAAGGTACGCAAGGGGGGAGGGATTCCCTTGTAGCTGTGCCTTAATTGTCCCATCTCATCTCGCAGGAAGTCAGAGCAGCTTTGCCCTTGTTGTACTGCTTGCAGCCAGCCAGAACTACTGTACAGTGTATATCATTCCAAAAGTCCTTTGGTTTTTTTTTAAAAAAAGGTGGCTTTAAAAGCAGTTCATTTTGAAAAGCCACTTAAGTCAAAGAACTTGACTTTACCCTCGAGAATCCCCTCCCCACAAATTTTGAACTTGGGTTATTCTTCCCTGGCAGAACTTCTGCGTATGGCAGGTTTGTTGATATGAGCAGGCATGCTACTTCATGTTCACATGCAGTCTTTTTAGGTAGAAGTTGTCATATTTGTTTTTTGTGCCTACTCATTTTCTAGCCGGGGTTCTAATGCCATGCTTTTTGCACTCCTAGAATATGAATCTTTGCCATATATGCCATCAAAATCAGAAACCCATACGCTGTAGAACTGCTTCTTGCACTCTACCCGCATTTAGTTCTTTGAGACCCTTCTCTTCGCCCCAAGTTTCACTTTGATGGCAATGTTGTCAAAGGAAGAAAGTGTCTGATGTACAAAGCAGTGGCGGTGATCAAATGAGTGCCAGCAAAACCCATGTTGGACATGAAAGGAGGTTAATGAAGCAAGAGTTTGCTGAATAATTTTTATGGCAGCTCTAATTATTTTAGCTCCATATTAAAACCAAAATATTTGCATTGCCTATAAATCCTGCTTTGATCTGCATAAGGCTTTGTTGTACTCTTTGAAAAAGGAACATAACATCCAGCATACCCTTGAAATCATTGCAGTACCACTCTGGGGCATCCAGCAAGCTGTTCATTGCTTTGATTTTGCAGTTACTGGAAAGCTTTCTGTCATTGCTTTCCGTTTGTCTGGAATGGAGGTGGCAGTTGCGTAGCCCAGGCTTATGTCTGCTCACTTGAAAGTAAGCTTTGCTAAGTTGAGGGAGGCTTAGTCCCAATCATAAGGCTTAGGAGTTGCAGTACTTCAGTCCAACTGTGTTTTGTTTCTAAGCTGATAAAAGTCAGTGAACTTACTTGGGAGGAAGTTGGTTTTAGAGTACATTTAAGCTCTATTTTGAAAATCGATGGCTTAAGGACAGCAGCACTGTTCCAGGATAAAGATTTCAAGGCAGCCACATTCATATTTGTTTCTTTGGATACAGGACCCTGTTCACCAAGAACGGGGATATAGGAACCTGGAGAAATCACACCCCCTTTCCAGGATTCTTCTGCTTTCATTCTTTAACATCTGCTTGCATTCTTCATTTGCACAGACATCCAATTAATTTATTCTGATTTATCGTTTCTGTCTGCAGAAAAAGTGGTTCTTCTCTCCCAACATCCTCAAAATCTAGATTTCCACAGAGGTGAGATAAGGCTGTAGGAGGGAGAAGAGGAGCAAAAAAATTGAATTACATGAGCAGAACTGTGTTCCCATGATAATAGATTTCCCCCTACCTACACAGAGTTTTTCGATAATGTAGTGCCTTCTCCTGTGCCTTTTATGGTGTTGACGAATAGTTGCAAAGAAAGTGAGCTGTATTGACTCTTACTCTATTCACTTAAATTACATATAGGCCACCTCGTAGCCTTCACAAAGCAATATAGACGAGATCCAAATGAGGTACATTTTGACAGTCAAAATGTAGGAATCTCATATGGTTAGGAAGCACCAATTAGTCGCATGAAGGATGTTGTTAAAGAATGGCAGAGGGCAACAGATGGCTGTTCTAGGTCCATTTGATGGCTTGTTCTGCTACTTCTTCAGTTCCAGAGGACGGGAGTACAGTAGCCACACCTGAGAAGGCCCAACAGTCTAATTGGCCACACTTGTAGGCACTCAGGGAAGGTTTATCTTCCCAGTACTTGCGAATGTTAGATGTTGGATTATGAAATGAAATGAAATATTTTAAACATTTTTCCCTGTTAGCACTATACAGTGGTGCCTCGCATAGCGAGGTAAATCTGTTCCAGATTAACCTTCGCTATAGCGAAACATCGCTAAACGGAAATAAAAAAGCCATAGAAACGCATTGAACTTCGTTCAATGCGTTCCTATGGCTTTAAAACTCACCGTTAAGCAATCTTCCTCCATAGCGCCGCCATTTTCATGCCCTCGGTAAGCGAGGGCAGGGCGCGAAAATGCGGCACAGACCTTCCGGCGGCCATTTTGGAACCGCCGATCAGCTGTTCTCCCCCGCTTCATTATGCGAT